TTCAGGGTAATAAAGTTTTCCGGTTACGAAATCATCGGTAACGTGCAGAATAGACCTGTTATGGCTACATCTGTATATCTTGGTAACCGCTGCACCAATTTCTTCCAAACTTGGCACAGTTGTTGGTCCTGGTACAGCATACCAAATGGCCGAAAATTTCTAAAATCGGACAATAACCACGCCCACATCCCATATAACGGTAATTTCGAGAAATACAAAATCTTCGATAAATCAGTAAATATTGAAGCTAATTTATTCAAAATTGATGATTGCAACAATTCTTTACCAAGAAATACGTTTATGACAAAATTTTGGAAAATGGGCGTAGCACCGCCCACTTGTGATCACATATATGTATCTCGCTAACGTTTCTAGCAATTTGTACTAAACTCGGTATGGTTATTGTGCTTGCCACATAAAAGCAAACCGTTTAAAATTGTTGAAATCGGACTAAAATTACGGCCGCTTTTCATATAACGGTAAATTTCAGAAATGCTTGAAACTGCAATATTTCGAAATTTAAGGACGCTAATTTACTTAATATTTATACACGCCGGCTTATCATGTAGCGATAGCTTTCGGAAAGGTGGAAAACATATATTTAATACTTTCGCCGGGTATTTAATGTTCGGCTCCGCCCGAACTTAGACTTTCTTACTTGTTTTTTTTTAATATTTTGTCCGATAAAGGTTAGTGAAAAATTATAAAATGAATACATTCTCGATGCCTTCAACAGATAGAAAAGCAAAAATACAAACTTCCGTTTCAAATACGAAACTCTTAGGTGAGGTGGAGCTTGAGGGTAAAAGAAACTATCTTAAAACTCTTAACATCCGCTAATATACGTTTCTTGGTCGGGTGGGTTTATTTACATACATACATACATATGTATATACGTACAGTCTAAGATTTTCAATAATTACCACTAAATAAATAGTTTAGCTTAGACCGCAAACATTTGAACAAATAAAACAGTTTCAGTAAATATTAAAGCTAATTTATTCGAAATTGATGGTTGCAACAATTCTTTACCAAGAAATAAATTTTGGAAAATGGGCGTGGCACCGCCCACTTATGATCACATAGATGATCACATATATGTATCTCGCTAACCGTTCTAGCAATTTGTACCAAGCTCGGTATGGTTATTGTGCTTGCCACATAAAAGCAAACCGTTGAAAATTGTTGAAATCGGACTAAAATTGAGGCCGCTTTTCATATAACGGTAAATTTCAGATATGCTTGAAATTTCAATATTTCGAAATTTAAGGACGCTAATTTACTTAAAATGTATACACCCCGGCTTATCATGTAGCGGTAGCTTTCGGAAAGGTGGAAAACATATATTTAATACTTGCGCCGGGTATTTAATGTTCGGCTCCGCCCGAACTTAGACTTTCTTACTTGTTTTTTTTTAATATTTTGTCCGATAAAGGTTAGTGAAAAATTATAAAATGAATACATTCTCGATGCCTTCAACAGATAGAAAAGCAAAAATACAAACTTCCGTTTCAAATACGAAACTCTTAGGTGAGGTGGAGCTTGAGGGTAAAAGAAACTATCTTAAAACTCTTAACATCCGCTAATATACGTTTCTTGGTCGGGTGGGTTTATTTACATACATACATACATATGTATATACGTACAGTCTAAGATTTTCAATAATTACCACTAAATAAATAGTTTAGCTTAGACCGCAAACATTTGAACAAATAAAACAGTTTCAGTAAATATTAAAGCTAATTTATTCGAAATTGATGGTTGCAACAATTCTTTACCAAGAAATAAATTTTGGCAAATGGGCGTGGCACCGCCCACTTATGATCACATAGAAGTATCTCGCTAACTGTTCTAGCAATTTGTACTAAACTCGGTTTGGTTATTGTGCTTGCCACATAAAAGCAAACCGTTTAAAATTGTTGAAATCGGACTAAAATTGCGGCCGCTTTTCATATAACGGTAAATTTCAGAAATGCTTGAAACTACAATATTTCGAAATTTAAGGACGCTAATTTAATTAATACACGCCGGCTTATCATGTAGCGATAGCTTTCGGAAAGGTGGAAAACATATATTTAATACTTTCGCCGGGTATTTAATGTTCGGCTCCGCCCGAACTTAGACTTTCTTACTTGTTCCTTTTCTTATTTTGTCCGAGAAAGGTTAGTGAAAAATTATAAAATGAATACATTCTCGATACCTTCAACAGATAGAAAATCAAAAATACAAACTTCCGTTTCAAATACGAAGTTCTTAGGTGAGGTGGAGCTTGAGGGTAAAAGAAACTATCTTAAAACTCTTAACATCCGCTAATATACGTTTCTTGGTATATACGTACGTTTCATATGTATATACGTACAGTCTAAGATTTTCAATAATTACCACTAAATAAATAGTTTAGCTTAGACCGCAAACATTTGAACAAATAAAACAGTTTCCGGCTAAAAATAGTGAAGGGCTTTTCAGAATGTCTAATTCTTCAAGCGTTACATAAAAGGCATCAAGGAATACGAAAAGTCTTGTGTTGATAATCATGTGAAGTGAGACAGTACAAAATGTAAAAAATGGCGTCACTTAGAGGAATACATGCAGCTAAGAAACAAAAGTGAGACAAAATGACACAATATGAAAAAAATTTGCATGCATAAGATCTCAATGCAAAAATGTCAAACATATATAACGCATAAACTAGTACACGTGAAATTAATGTAAAATGAAAAATACTTAAACAATAAAAAAAGGCGACCTACTGAAATCTGAAAATTTCTCAGAATAATGTATGCAAAGGAAAACCATCATATCATCACTAGTGAATGACATATGTAATTTCTTATGTTATTCGGTAAACACATTTCAAAAGTTGCATTGTAATCATCGGGACCAAACCAATAACTTTGTCTTTAATACAACACCCTCCTCATCCTAAAAACGTGTTTTGGCTACTTGCTGTCTACGCTTGAAAATATTTATGTTGTTTGTGTCCATACTATTAAAACACTGTGCTTTGATATTATCATCTCTTGCTCCATGGAGTAGAAGAAAATACCAGCAAAGCTGTCTTCCCTACATTATTTCCCGTTTTTTAGTTATGGTCGATCCATTAAAGATCTTTTGGGTTCTGACAAATAGCACGTATCTGGGTAAGTATCTGAGACAAGAAGCAAGTAAGTGAAGATTCGCTTATATATATCGCACACCTAGATCTAAAAAGCGATCAACTTAAAAAAAGATTTTGGACTTTTTTTTGCATAATCAATTCATAGGACTTACCTCAAATTAGTGCAAATTTTTTGTTATTCTTGATTATGTACACTTACTAAGAAACTACTACTATACCTGTTTCTGTATTCAGGGCTATCACGGAATTCTTCGTAGAAATCTGTTGGTGCAAAGGAAATAAAAGACATTTATGTCTGTGGTCATAAGCAGTAACCGCCTAAGTCGAAAAACCTGAATTCGAGAAAAAACGTTTTACACATTTGGACTGTAATGTTAACCTTATGGGGAAACCAAAATGTGTTCATCCATAACTTTTTAAATAGCCTAGCTGGCGAGATGAGGATTTCACATACACATGGAATGGTAGTTGCAGAATACGATAGCATATATAACTCAATTCTTTCTTAAGTCGACTGAGGCGGTTATTGCTTATGACCACAGATTTATGCCATTTTGCTCACGCTGCCCCATCAGTCGCAATGGACGAGCGAGCAAAGCACTAGACTGCCAATTAAGAGATCCGAGTCCGAGTCGTCGGAGCTTTTTTTCTTTTTTATTTAATTTTTGTTTATCTTTTTTAATAAATATTTTGTTTAGTTTAGATTTTATTCTTTTAAAGAGAAACATATATTTTTAAATTAATTTTTATGATATTAAAGTAATTAGGTTTATTACCTAATAAATTGTTGTTAACCTTGTATTTCCTCAATTACAAAAAGTATTAATTCAATAAATAGCGTCTAGCAGATGAATGCGTGTACATATGTACAGTGGCGGTCAAAAATAGATGAATAGTGTTTCGTTTTTAATATTTTTAATGTTTTTCAAGCTAAATTTTTTTTTTATATTTTTTTATAAAAATATGGTTCATGCTTTAACAAAAACTATATAAATCACACTTTCAAACTTCATACAGAACTCAATTCCACAAATTTTATCTAAAATTCGAGCTTTAGAACAAGAATTTTAAGAAATTTTCGGGGTATGCAGTTAACAAGCTTATAAAATTCTAGTAAAATAAGTGCAAGTTTTGAGCGGCTAAAAAATCACATTGATTTTTAATAATTTTTTTTTGTTGACATCGATTTACACTTTTTTCCGTATAAACATGAATTTTATGTGAAAAAATGTGCGCATGATCTTTTGCGATAAAAATAAAAAAAAGTCAAGGCCTGTTTTCCTAAACTTCGCTTTTTATGTGAAAAAAAACCGAAAAAGTCGTCAGCAAAAAAAAAAAATATTAAAAATCAATGCGATTTTTTAGTTTCTCAAAACTTGCACTTATTTGGCTAGAATTTTATAAGCTCGTTAACTGCATACCTAAAAAATGTCTAAAAATTCAGGTTAAAAAGCACGAAATTTAGATAAAAATTTATGGAATTTTTCTAAGTTTTGTATAAAGTGTGAAAGTGTGATTTATATAGTTTTTGTTAAAGCATCAACCATATTTTTATAAAAGATATCAAAAGAATTTGAAAAAATTTTAAAAATATTGTAAATATTAGAAACGAAACACCATTCAGCCATTTTTGATCGCCACTGTACATACCAGGGTTGTTGCAAATATTCGCATTCGCATTCGCAACCGCGGAGCTTCCGCATTAATTTTAACATTCGCATTCGCAATAATCAATGCGGAGCTTTTGCGAATGCGAATGTTGTGCAAGGCACCGATAAAACGTATATCTGGCAAACAAAATGACAAATTGTAGCGAATATTTTTTGCCTGTGGTCGTTCGAGTATTTGTTTAACAAAACTGGTCAAATGTCATATTTATCATGGCTGCCATAATCCTCAAACCATCAACCAGGACGCTTATCATCCAAATCAAAAACGAAGATGCAAACGAATATGGTGCCAATATATTCCTTATAAGTACAGTTGCTTTCGCTCTGGCATTGTAGTTTTGTGGTTCAATCCGTAGAGCTGAATGATTGATGGTGATGAAATGCTGAAGTTCTGATTTAATTAATTTTTATCATAAAAGAACAAATTTTTCTTGGCTGTTGGGAAAAATTTTTGTTAACGTTGTCTGGAATGCTTGCCTTACCACAATTAGAAAATCTCAACATATCCTAGAATGCGCTTCATGATCATTTTTGCCATTCTGTATATGCATAACCTGAAGATAATTTAGTTAGACTGTCTTAAGTTAAGCCATTCTAAAAGACTTAACCAATAAGGACTGAAAAAAGTGCTTCCTAACAAGGGGTTTCCGATTTACAATTTACTCGAATGTAAGATACCTATCTTTATATTACAGGGGTGTGCAAGGCCGAGGCTAATAAGAGCCACATGTAAACTCTAAATCAGAGGTTCCCAAACTTTTTTTCCTCGTAGACCCCTTTCAAAAATTTACTGGTTTCGGTGGACCCCCTTCTGATACATTTCTAAATATTCCCAAAGCTCGTAAAAAATTAAATGTGACAATTAGATCTAACAATGTAAATTTGCATCGCGGGTGAATTCAATAACTAAACTCAGTGTGGCCAAAATAAAAGTAAACTATTTCCTGTGTTCTGTTTATAAAAATAATGTGATTACACACTTGTAGGTTTTTAAAAATAGAGCTCGTAAATACATCAAAATACTCTCTCGCTCGGAAGAGTTATATTTTTTAATAGCACTGCTAGCGCTAGCGCTATTTACATTATCTTCACCATAAACTCATCAAATGTTCAGCTCACTCTTGACTTTGCACGTGGAGTATATGTAAAATAGTTTATTTATCTTAATGGCATCATTTTTATTTTTATCGCTCCGAGCTTTAAAGTGAGGCGAAAAATATTTATCACATTTTTAAAACACAAAACTTAAAACATCAAAGCGGCCAAGATTTTTACGCCACACTTTTAATTCAGAAACTGACAATAGAGAAAATAACGACTTTAAAAAATCGATGGCAAATAACCAAGCAAGCAAGAAACACAAAGGTGCTCCACCGTCTCATCTTCTTCAAGGCAAGACGGGCAAATGGACTTGTCATTTACGCCAATCACAGTCAGGTTTTTGTGCCACTTGAAGTAACCAGTCAGCAGTACAGCAAGTTGTCTGCAGTGTCGACTGCTCAGTGAGAGCAAAAAATTATATAGACCTTGTGAGATTGAAGGCAACATGAGTTTTGCCCACCTGCATCCCCTCGATTCCTATCAGTAATTTCTGAGTTTCTGATGTTGGCTTCGATTGCCGAAGGTGGGAGTGCTAAAACTGGTTGCGGACCGAGGAATGCTTGGTCTGAGCCAACTCTGGCCAAATGATCAGATGTCTCATAACTAGGTACTCCAGAGTGACCTGGCACCCAGAGTAAAACAACCTCTTTTGATTATAAACTCAGAATGACCTTTTATTTTAAAAAATATTTAATTTAATATTGTTATTTCAGAATAAAGGTCAACCATTTTAATACAAGCTTTTTCGTGAAAATTACTAAAATATATTTATAGATTGAAGAAATATAGTATTTTTGCGTACTATATTTTTTTCCAACAGTATATAGTACGCCGACCGGAAAAATAGTACAATACTATGTATTATAGTACGGTTGGCAACCCTATCCATGGCTTTGAGTTTTGCAATTACCTCAGCCTGGAAGACCGAAGCATATTCCCCTACAGCAAAGCGAAGGTTTTCTCCATTAACCTCGAAAAAGACCCCAGATCATGACTCAGAGCCAGTTTTGGAGCTATCAGTGAAGATTCGACAATGTGTGAGTCCGGTCTCAGCGATGGAATCAAACCAGCATTCAGTCTCAGGGAACTCAACATTATAGAATCTCTCCAACAAAGGTAATTGTGGCATTGAAAAGACACAAGTGCAGTTTTACAAAGCTACCGGTTCTTTTTAGTCTGCCTTTAAGGCTTCCCCACGTATGAAAACACAAAGTGACGGCAAGTGCAGCAGTGCGTCACCACTCAAAATAATTAAAGTTAAATAAAGAGGCTATCAAGCAACCATTTTGGTTCTTTACATCGAAGCTAGATAAATCTTCGTGGACCCCCATTTAAAACTCATGGACCCAAATATCTTTTTCACGTCACCGTGGACCCCAGTTGAGTCTTCCGTAGACCCCTGGGGGTCCACCTGGACGACTTTGGGAAACTCTGCTCTAAATGCTACACAGAGCCACAAAAAAAACAACAAAAACAGAAATTCTATTATACCCGAACGCACTTGTGCATAAGGATACTATAACTTTGTTCACATAACAGGTATTTGTAACAGGCAAAACGAATCGAGATAGATATAGACAAATGTATACATAAATGATAAGAATGAAAAAAAATATAAAATTATTAAGCGGTGACTGTCTGTCCGTCTGTCCGACTGTGCACACGATAACTCGAGTAAAAATTTAGATATCTTAACGAAACTTCGTATGTATACTTCTTTTCGGCGTAGGTCGGATGGTATTGAAAATGGGCAAAATCGGACAATAACCACGCCTACCTCCCATATAACGGTAGTTTTCAGAAATACGAAAACTGCGATGTTTTAGTAACTACTGAAGCTTATTTACTCAGAATTGATATTAATTTTTGGAAAATGGGCGTAGTCACGCCCACTTATGATTACATGTGTATATCTCGGTAACCGCTGCACCAATTTCTCTCAAACTTGGCACGGTTGTTGGGCCTTGGCAAGACATACCTAACGGCTAAAAATTTTTAAAATCGGAGAATAACCATCCCACATCGCATATAACGGAGATTTAGAGAAATACGAAATCTTCGATAAATAAGTAAATACCGAAGCTAATTTATTCAAAATTTATGCTTGCAATAATTCTTACCAAAAATTACGTTTATGATAAAAATTTGGAAAATGGGCGTAACCCTTCCCACTTATGACCACATATGTGAATATCGGTAACTGTTCTATCAATTTGTACCAAACTCGGTATGATTATTGTGCTTGCCACAG